AGGAGTTCCGGAAGTGGTGTGGCTGCTTTTACAGTGAGTGAGATTGGCCGCCGGGGGACCTTTGCCCCCCCCGCCAGCGGAATCAGCCACCGGGGCACATGCCCCTCCGACTCCAGGCACCAGACATCCATGAAACCATACATTGTGACTAAGAAGGCTCCTCCTGACTAGAAAGCACAGCTAGCTAGGTTCAGGCTGCAAACCTAAGATCAAGCCCAAGCATGTTTTACATTCTTGAGGATGTAAGGCCAGCATTTCTCTTATCAGTGGCAGCAGCAGCTGGTCTTGACCATTGAATTACAAGTATATTATGTTAGAGGCTGTATACCAAAACCTGTTTCCTCCTGGCCAAATTAAAACCTTGGTTTGTCTCTCTGATACCTTATGGGCATCTAGCTCTCAGTATAAGCTCAGCATAATAAGAGCAGAGTCTTTAAGCTTCCTCCCAGACTCTCTCTGTAGGTGCAGACAGAAGTGCAGCTCCCTGCTGGAACTCATAGCACTTTGCAGGAAGCACCATCACTTACATCAATCCCCCGAACCCAACAGATGTTTACTGTTGGGTTCCAGAGGTTGGGGGATTCAGCTGCAATTTGGAGCGGCTGTGAGTCGGCAGCCACTGTCCTCTAGCCTTGCCCTTCAGTCCTCCTAACCCTGGCTCTGTCTTCAACTCGGGGGGGCTCCAATCCTCTCATTCCGCCCCCCAGCACCAGCTGAAAAAACCCCAGGCTCAACTCTCTCCTCTCCCTTCCCCTTTCCAATTCTGAAGGTGGAACATGCTGACATATGTTAATGAAGATGCTCCATTTTGGAGCGTCTTCACCTGGACCTTCATGCAGTGAGGGTTCAGATTGTCATGGGTTCTTTTAAAGTGCTCTGAAGCTGTGCACTTGTGTTTGGTCATGGCTGTAGAGCATTTCCAGGGGCCAGATTGTGTGAAAATTGTCACTTCTGTCTGTGCCTCTTATCTCCTTCCTTGGTATCACTGCTCTACCAGTTTCAATTATCTCCCTAGATCCTCACATGCAGACTATGTCTAAGACTGGTAATTTCAATCTGTGTAACTTCTCTTAGATGCAGCCTTTCCTAGCTGTTCACATAGCTAAAATTCATCTTTATCAAGATTACCTTCATTTCCTTTTCTTTGGATGTGACAAATGCAACCTTATCCTCCAAATACCTCCTTAAAACTCTCTTTTGCTATGATGCACCATGGTGTCCTGGACTACTAGGGCTCTGCAGCACTATGAGAATAAAAAGGAATAAAAATAATAATGAATAATCATCAACAGTATTCATACTGATAATGAAGTAAAGGGCTGCAGGCAGAATAGTGGACTTTCTGCAACAATGGTGCACAGTAGGGTATGGGGCAAACTAACTTATATTAGTGAAGGCTTAGTTAGTTCTATGAACCCTACTGACTAGGTAGAGGAACAGAGACAAGAGAATTTGAAATTCACCTAAAGCTGCACAGCACTAGAGGAGAGACCTTGCCCTTAGCTTGAGGTCCAGCTACCAGAGAGTAGGTATTTATATAACTTCCCTTGTATCAATTAACATAGACAGGCAATGCTCCAATCCATACCAATGCAGTTAAATCAGGATAAACAGAACCATGACTTAAGGTGGCATGGCTTGTCTATAACAATGCCATAGCAGTACAGGTGGGTGGCCCCGCAGGGCTGTAATCCTGACATATCTTTAAGGCAGCCCAGAATGAAGACTGCATAACTACTTAACAGTCCCTTGGACTGTTTCTAACTTGGCTATATAAGCTATGTTATTTTATCCTCTCTGCGATAATTGTAGATTTGCAAATTGTTCCTCCTGTGGGATGGAAAGTACAAAGTTGAAAGTGTTGAAGTTTAATATTTATAAGAGATATTCAAGATAAAAAACACAAAACATTTGATTATATCTGGGAATATTTATCACAAAAGAGAATTGATAAAGAACTGATACCTGCAAATTGCAGTAATCCCACAAAACTAGCTCTTTGGCACAGTTAGACTGTAAAACCAACTCAATTAGATCAATTTCCTAGGGTTTGACTTTGCTTAAAATAATAAGTAACCTTTTATGGTTTCTGAGAAAGCTGATGAACTTGATCTGATAATATCAGTAAGAACGTCATCTGTATAGACGTGAGAAAACTGGTCCTTACATACTGAGGGTAGGAAAATGATTATGCAAAAATGCACTTGCTATAGCAGGCAGATAATCAGCGATATCAGGGAAGATTAAGTAGCAGTAATGGCCATATGGAAGCACGCAGGCACTAAAGAAATGAGAAAGAAAGAGACTCCGGGGCCAAATTTGAAAATATGAACTCCACTGCAGCATGAAATTTTGTAAAAGAAATTTCTATCAGGTGGCAATAATAAAACATCATGGGAAGAATTGTTCCCCCTGCTAACTCAGAACAAAGAATGTGTTAGTGTTAGGGAATGATTGTTCTTCCGAAAGCTACATTCTCTGTTTCTTCTCTGTTTTGCTACATAGTACTTCCAATCCCCTATCAGTCTGGCTTCTTGCTACAGTTTTGAACAAACAAAAATCCAAATCCTTGTTTTAACAGGGTGTTGAGGTGAACCTGTAGGCCAGGCATGTCTCATTCCTAGTACTGCTAGATCAGGGAGTTCAGGGGGGTGTGATCTGGTGAGATGGAGGAGAGGAGTTGCACAGATAGTATGTGATCTATTATAGGATCATAGAATCACAGGAAAGTAAGACTGGAGGGACCTCAAGAGGTCACCTAGTCTGGGCCTCTTCTCAAGGCAAGATCATCCCTGATTAAAGCATCCCAACCAAGTGTCTATTCATAGATTCATTGATTTTATGATAGTCATAGATTGTAAGGCCAGAAGGGACATTGGAAGATCATCGGGTCCAGCCCCCTGCACCAAGCAGGAAAGGTAATTGGCAAGATGACCCCAGTAAGGTGACTATCTAGTCTCCTCTTGAAGATTTCCAGGGTACCACCTCTGGAGGGAACTTATTTCACAGTGCGGACACCCTGATTGTGAGGTTTTTCCTAATGTTGAGCCTGAAATGGTCTTCCAGGAGTTTGTGGCCATTACTCCTGGTTTTCCCCTCAGGTGCCCAGGCGAACAGTTGCTCACTGAGCCCTTGATGTACTCCCCTAATGTAGTGGTAAGCTGCTACCAGGTCCCCTCTCAGCCTTCTTTTCCTCAGGCTGAAGAGGCCCCGATCCCACACTGAACTCACAACCTTCATGTCACTTCCCCAGTAACTTTCAATAAGTATCATGTACTGATCCACTGCACTACTGAAGCAGGAATTAAATCTTCTTAAGCTATCTAACCTTCTGAAAAATGTCCAGGGATGCAGATTCCACAACCTCTCTAGGTAGTCTGTTCCAATCTTTAACCAGTCTCATAGTGATGAGTTCTTCCTAATCTCTAACCTAGATTTCCTCTGTTGCAGTTTAGTGCTATTACTCCCAAGGTGCAGACAGAAGTGCAGTTTCCCAGTCTAACTTATGGCACTTAACAGAAAGCACCAGGAGTCAGATTGATCTTCCCGATCCAAAAGACATTAGCTGTTGAGTCATAAGGGTGAAGGAATCAGGCTCCAATTCAGAGCTGATCCAGTGTGAGAAGCTGCATGCTGGCAGCCTCTTCCCTTAGCCCTGCCCTCCACCCCCTCCAGGTCCAGTGGTGTCTCAGGATGGGGAGGAGGGAAAGAAGGGAGTGGGGGGAGCTCAGATTAGTGTTGGCCTGAGTGGACACAGGTAGATTGGAGCCCCCACCTCAGGCTGGGCAAACACTAAGCTCCCCACTCTCTTCTCCCTCCCTCCCATCCTGAGACAGCACTGGGGACAGGTCTGGGCTGCAGCAGCCCAGTTGCCAGAGCAGACAGGTTAATGAAGGTGCTTCACTTTGGAGCACCTTCATTTGAACCTTCGTGCAATGAGGATTAATTTGTCATGCAATCAGAGTGCTCTGCAGTCATGCTCTCCTGGTAGGGCATGGCTGTAGAGTGCTTTTCAAGTAGCCAACAAATGTAATTTCTGTCTGAGCCTCAAGTTCTGCCTCCTATAGACACAGAAAAAACATATCTCCATCCTCTTTATTATCATCCTTTAGATATTTGAAGACTGTTACCAGATCCCCCCACCCTTGATTTTCTCTTCCTCAGACTAAATAATTCTAGTTCAGCCTTTCCTCATAGGTCATGTTTAAGTTGGACATCAGGAGGTGCTACTTCACAGTCAGGGCGGCTAGGGTCTGGAACCAGCTTCCAAGTGAGGTGGTGCAGGCTCCCACCCTGGGGGTTTTTAAGAGGAGGTTGGATGACCACCTTACTGGGGTCGTTTGACCCCAGTGCTCTTCCTGCCATGGCAGGGGGTCGGACTAGATGATCTGCTCAGGTCCCTTC